CAGTGAGGACGAGGACGTCGGCAGCCTTATTGAGTGCCTGCTAAGGGAGTAAACCCTTTGAGAAAAAAAATCACTTTTAAACCAAACGGGTCTTTTAAGAGCCAACCAACTGTTTAGAAAAGATGCCTTCTATACAGAGGTAAAAAAGAAACGTTGTGTGTCTAAGAAAAGATTATCTTTTTTTAAAAAAAATACAGTCAAAGAAACGATTGTGTCTTAGAAAAAAGATTTTCTTTAAAAAAAAATACAGTCAAAAAGAAAAGAATACCTTCTTATACAGTCGATAAAAAAGAAAAGAGTACCTTCATATACAGTGGGTAAACAAGAAACGTTGTGTGTGTCTCTCAAGTTATAACACCAGGTCACTTTTATAAGAACTTACAATTTTTTTCTTTTTTAAACTTATAATTTTTTTTTTAATTAACTTTTAACTTTTTAATAATAATAATAATAATAATAATATTAAATAGGAAAAAAGAAACACCTTTTTTAAAAAATATATTCACATAAAACACATATATTTTTAACATTTATTTTTTTTTTTTCAAACAATAACAACATATATACATACATATACACTTAATGTGGATGAAGAATGTACACCTGTTTGTCATAAGTGTGTGCAAATTGTTCAATATAATGTCTATAATGAGTCCAATTTCCTTTGGCTAGCCCATATGCAATCCTGTAAGGAAAAGCATAAGTCTGGTAAGGTAAACTTTCCCCCGTTTCTTGTAAACAAGTTTGAAACCATTGTTCTCTGTTTTGTGGAGTGTCTTGATAAGTACAGATTCTTTCAGGTCGGTGACTTGCTTTTCCATAATCCCATTGAGCTAGTAAACAAATTACCACAGGGGTTTGTGAGGGAAACACCCTAATAGTGCCTGGAATTCCTCTATCTTCTTCTAGGGCTAAATTTCTAGTCCCTAGAGGTCTGCGGGTGGCATAGAGATTGGCTTGTGGGAATTTCTCTGCAATACTTTGACTCAATCCATGAGCTTTTACAGTTAAACAATTACATTGATGAACAATGGCTTCTACTTCACAGTTCAGTAAATCACCCTGTATCTCCTGAAGACTCATGGTTCAAACTGATGGTTCAAGTCATGCCCCCCTTTTTATATGGACAAACAAGAATGTGTTGTTTTTATCATTTTTAATGTTCTAAAATTACAAAGTCTTAGGGCTAATTCTTCTCTTTGTCTTATTCTCACTCTGTGTCTTCAACGGCATAGAAAATCTTCTCTCTAATAACATCTGTTTAGTTTTATTGTTTGGTCTTATGTTTTCTTTTTCCCCCTCCTCCTCCTGAGGTTTATATTCTACAGGATGTTCTGTTTAAGTAACCATTCAGTTTTCTCTAATCTAGTGTTCTGACTCATTTCTTTGCTGAAGCTGTTACCCATAATGAAGCCAGTCCACAACTGAGGTGTGTTTGTACCATGTTTACTATTTATACTTTTTCATTGTATCTATTTTTTTCCCCAATCTTTAAACCCTTACCATTTTGTTTTGTGTTTTGAAAAATAATCTATGGTTAAAGGGAGATAACCTACTTTTAAAAATGACAAAAAACACAATTTTTTTTCCTTTTATTTGTAACAACAAACAACAACAACAAACAACAACAATACATTACAATGCATTTTGATAAAAACATTGACACTTTTGTCCGTGACCCGTAGATAATTTATGATAAGTGTTTTTAAACCAATTCGCCACGTATCTGTCCCTTTGTAAAGCCGTACTCTGGTCAAAGGGGAATAACCACTCGTCGGTTTTCTTTCTTTTCTTGTCTCTTTGATGTAAATAATACACGCAATATTGTCCACACACATCGGTATTCCAGTCTTGATAGCGATACGGATTATAAATCCATTGTTGAGCATGACGCTGGATAAAGTCTTGAATTTCTTTTTGTAAGGGAGGAAATCCATAAGAATCGAAATATTTCACCACGGGATTGCTCACATACAGACACACCCAATGTTCTCCAGGTCGATCTTGCGGATCCGTATTTACCACGACAGCTTTTTCTCCAGGTCTTAATTGATCCGGTAATAAATCTACAGGATACACGCCTCCAAAAGAACTCTTGAATTCTCTGGATAAGACTTCTCTTATTTGTCCCGTATCCATTAGTAATCAATGCTCACTTCTCTCTGTTTGTTAATTTCCAATAGGTTATCGAATTCTGCATACACCACACAATTGATGGTGTTAACCGTATTGTTGGTAAACTGCACTTCTACTCTCAGATTTCCTGTTTCTATGATGTGGAATTTATCCGATTGCGCCTCTTGATCTTTGGTGAAATCCCAGCCCCATAGAGTGTAGCCGCTTTTATACTCTTCTAGGGTAATGTCCGGAGCCCAGTCTTCTCCTAATTTTCCCAGGGCTTGATACAGACTGAGATAAGATCTCAGATATAAATCGTCGTTGAAATTAGGCTAAAAACAACGAGTACTCATGGTCTCTCCGTTGATACTGACATCTAATTTCTTGATCCCAAAGTTTTGGAAATGAAAGGGATTTTTAGTTTTATCTCCGTTAAAGGTCGCATTCTCCACAAAGCCTAAAATGAGATGTTTAGGCATCTGGCCTTGAAACAGATGATCCGTAATCTTAGACTGGGTTCCTGTGGGGATGGTAAAGGTTTTCACTTCCACTCTTCTCAAGGGATATTTGGCTCTGTGGGTATTCAAACTCTGATTAATGGCATTCATCATGACTGGTGTGGGTTTGACTTTTCTCACCCACAAGATCATACTCAAAATTTTCACTTTTCCTGTACTTCCTCCTTTGATCATCATGTAGAAAGCGGGTCTAGCTCGATTAAATCGCAAACGGACGTCCACTCCATTAGGTGGAAATCGATCTTGTTGAAACAAATCCAGATGTAAACGATCCAGCAAAGTGATTTTCTTACTATCGTCGATGGATTGGTGTCTTTTTCGGAATCCTTCGTTTTTAAAATTGGCCGGGTACTCTGTGAGGATGGGTTGGTTAATGGTCACTGTATCGTTACTTGAACCTTTAGTTACATTAAAGGTCTTATTTTGAGCTACACCAAGTTCCTCTATCCCCACTTCGTCCATGTGTCCTGCCGTATCTTTTACCCACAGACTACAGGCCCTCATCTGTGTCTTTAAAGTTCTGGGTTGGTATGAAAATAATTTCTCCAGATAAGCTTTGTAAGGATAGGTATCCGTCCCCGGGGTCACTATTTTCCCATTCAGACTGACATCGATTTCCGTAAACAAGGAATGTAAGATATTATTCACTGGGCTCGAAGTGCTGTTCGCCCCAGTCAGATTACTTCCATCATCTTTGGTAAATTTACATACCAACTGAAGATAAGTTTGAGATAAATCCAGATAGTGATCTCCTTGTCCTTTAATTTCAAATTCGATGGGAGCGGTCTCCGAATCTAAAGTACTGGAAATGGGGTAATATTCTTCCCATTTCGAGTCTTCTAAAGCAATATTAGTCGGAGGGACTTGGAACAATTGTAAATTGTTCATCCCACACGCACAGGAATCGGGATGTACATGTAACATGATGTGTCTACTTGGATTCAGTTTTCACAAATGAACCTTCTGTTCACTGGACTGGCTTATTTATACTCTCTCTCAGTCAAACACATCGAAAGGACGTTTTCTTTTAGGAATTCCTCCTTGTGTTTTCCTTTTTCTCTTAGGACCTCCTCGGGCTAACATAGGGGTCTTTTTTCTTCTGTTGTTAGTACCTCCTAGATTCATTCTTTGTTTCACCATTCCTGAAGTATTTTTCAAGGCTCTTACGCCGTGAGTTTTGACTGCGTCTTTTAAAACTCTTATTTTCTACTACGTCTAACCCCGTTCTAGCAGCAGCAGTCAAGGCGTGTTTAGCTCCCGTTTTCAGTAAATCAGTAAAAAATCCTCGGCCTCTCTGTCTTCTTTTTCTTCTTGTTATTTTAATCACCATTCCCGATCCCCTCTGTTTTTTCATTCTCTTTCTTCTTCTTTTCTTAGTACCTCCTAGATTCATCCTTTGTTTCGCCATTCCCGAAGTATTTTTTAGAGCTTGTACTCCGTGAGTTTTGACTGCGTCTTTTAAAGATCTCTTATTTTCTAATACGTCTAACCCCGTTCTAGCAGCAGCAGTCAAGGCGGGTTTAGCTCCCGTTTTCAGTAAATCAGTAAAAAATCCTTCCCCTCTTTGAGAGTTTTGGGGTGGATAATAGGGTGGTGGTGGTGGTGGGGGTTGCTGCTGATGTTTCATTAATTGTGGCACAAATACCGGTAAATCCTCCTGATTCTCCTCGGAATACATGTTGATGAATGAAAGAAAAGATGGGTTCAGGGTCCTATTTATAGTTAACACAGAAATATGCGTTTGGACTGTTGAATCTCGCCTCGACAGATGGGGCAAAAATGGAAGGAAGGAGCACACAAAGCACAGCAGCATACGTGTCCACAAGGTAGAAAAACGATTTGTAACTCCTCGTCTAAACAAATGTGACATTTTCCTCGAGCCTGAACGTCTGGTTCTGGGTTCAGTAGAGGTTTGATCTCAAAGGTTAAAGGTCTATATCCCTGCTTCTCTAAGAACCTGACAAATATACCCATCACCCAGCTTCGTCCTTCATACTGATTGATGTAAGGACAATTGGGGTTCCAATAAGCATGTTCTGCATAAGGATTGTCCTCAAGATCCCAATTCGTTAAAGTCATTCCACAATGAAAACAGGTAGCGTTATCTTCTAATCCCCTGTAGTAAAACCCGGCTCGAGCTATGTCTGGTATTTTTCTTAAGAGAAGTTCTGGCCATCCCTGCTCAAAAGTAGCTTCTCTCTTTGAGAGCTGAGCATACTGGGGATAACGCATGGGTTGGTCTGGCTCGCGACTCCCCATGATTAGAAATGACCTTTGATTTTGAATAAGAATACCTTTTATAGAGAAGAAAAAACAACACAAAAACAATTCAATTTTTATTTCAAAAGTCAACATGTCAACATATCAATAACCATAAGGTAAAGTGTTATAATTCTCTACAATTTGTCTCTTGTCATACACAATTCTATACTTTTTCTCTAAAGGTTTGGTCACGACGTCATGATCACGGGTCCTCTGGATTTTGTTGGGATAGGGTACTGTAACTTCCTCTATTTCTCCTTTGAGCATTTTTTGTAAAGTGTTTAGGGACACGATTTGAGAGGTTCGATGGTTGAGAGTGATTCCTTTGACTTTAAGGGTCTCGGTTCCTTTGGTCTGGTAACCATAATTGTTAGGACCTGCCGACATGAATTTGGTGATGTGATCCCCGTCTAATTCGTCGGTCCATTCTCCTAAACTATTGCTCAAGGTAGGATTAAAGACTCCTTCCCGATGTTGATAAATGATACTATCCGTATCGAAATAAAGGCCCCGATCTCCTAAAGGTTGTAAAGTCTCGTAGAGGTGTAAGCGGGCATGCGCGGTGGTAAAACAAGCCAGGACCACGTTTCCAAAGGGACATTCTTCGACGAATTCCTGCTTGTCTTGATAATTCACTAGCATCTTGTCTTCATTGGGGTTCTCTTTATTAACTAAGAGTTGCATGCCCTTGATGTCGAGAGTCGAATCTTGTAAGAGTTGCTGTAATTCCTCTTCTTCGTCCAAGTATCTGGCTATGGGTAATAACAAGCGTTGAGCAAATTTTCCCCACAGGCAATTTAAAAAGAGTTTAGCGATGGTTCTTCTCACTGGATTCTTCTCGATACTGAGAATGTCCATTAGGATACCTTCTTTGTGTAAGACTTGTCGAATGTAATCTTGTTCTTGATCTGAGGTCTTACAGTCGGGGGGAAATCCGGAGGCTTCCTGTTTGATCTTGAGGAAGGTATCGATGTAGGATCTGAATAACTCTTGACTGCTTTCTTTAAAATGCCACACTTCGTAGATTCGCTCTAAGGTATATCCCATGTCCAGGGCTTTATGTAATTCGGTTGTCACCCAGGTGCCCGTGAGACTACGTTCCTGGTCGGTGTGTTGACATGGATGTTGAGAAGTAGAGTCCTGTCGTTCGGCACACGTTCGACATAAGGGAAACAATAACTTGCCTCCCGTCCGATAAGGTAATACGGGGTGATAGAGGCCTCGGGGAGGTAAGACCCGACAGTGAATGAGGCCGAAATAACTTCTCACATCCTGGAACTCGTCTGTGATGATCTCGGGATGCCCTACGGGAAATGGTCTGTGTTTCAATACATAAGGACATAGGGAACAAACGTCCACGTATCTCATATCCCCTTCCTCACAATATAATTTAGTGGCATTGGTCCGGCCTCCGTACAGGGCTTCTCGAGGGTTCAAAGGATCGGGAATGTCCAGGTCTCGTACAAAATGCTGTTAACTCACATCTCGTTGCACTTGCTGATCGAAATCGTGCTCCCAGATACTACAGACGGTGTACCCCATGTTTTCCAAGGCCAAAGTCCTTCGGATGGTTTCCTCGTGTAATTGTTGGTAAGTAAATTGGGTCCGGTGAGGATGAGTTTCGGTTTGTAAACTGGGATAGCAGGTGGGGCATCCGTGCCAATAACACCCGTAAAATTCATAGACGGTACGAGTCGCTTCCTGGTATCCGTCGACGGTATAATTTCCGATCTGGACTTCGCCCCCGTTTCTGGCATGGTGTATGTGACATCCACTCTGTTGACTCATCCAGGTGAGCCACCGACAGGCTTTGGCCGAATATTGTCGTGCCGGTTGATACCCGAGGTTCGGAATGATGGCAATGGTGTCTTCAGGCATGAATTGTCGACGGTAGGCTAAATTAGCAGCACTGGCAAACGTGATGGATTCCTGGAAAGGGTCCACATTGACCAAACTCTTGAGGGTGGCTCTAAACTGTGCGTAGCATCGTCGTAAAATGTCGACGTCGGAGACACAATACTCTACAAACTCTTTCTGGAAATCAAACACTTTTCCCATCTGTTGTTCGTACCATTCAAAAAAAGCCTGTCGTCCACTGGTAGACATTTTGTCCGGATTGTAGAAAGCTGCCGGTGGATAGACTCCCACGTAATTCTGGTTCTGTTCCGTATTAAAAAAGTGGGGGAAATAACCTTTCTTCAATTCGTCGAATCCGAAAGCGGAGGGCATCTTGGCCAAAGGAAAGGGTAAGAAACTATATGAGTCGATGAATTTTAGTCCGCATATTTCCATGTACAAGATCTTACTGCCGTTCATGATGACGTTAGGTTTCAGGCAAGAGGAATGCACCAGGTAATTCAAAATGAATTGTCCGTCGTATCCTTTGAAGTTATGGGCGATGACGATGGCCTCGTCGTGTACTACTGTGGAATTCTTAGTACCTGTAGTGGGTTGTAATAACCAGTCCATGAACTTCTTTAAGGTGTCTGGTCCTTGAAATAGGTGCTGACGGGGTCCCATGTGTTGACAATGAGGACAGGGCTGGCCTATGGGTAAATGACCGCAATGTTGACAGACACGGTGTGCCACACACAGATTAGGGATGTGGATGCCGGTTTCCTGAGTGCATTCGAAATCGAAATAGATGTAAAACTGTAAGATGTCTTTCCCCTTCTTCTTCTTCTTCTGGGGCTTCTGTTGTACGTAGCACTGATGATCGGTATCGACGATTTTCTTACAGATCTTACATTGTTTCTGTTCTCTGCACTTGTGATGAGGCAATAAATTCTTCGGTATCCAGGACTGACACTTCTCACATCGTTCCATTAAATTGCAGACAGTAGTGGTGGTCTTCTTACTATGGGGTCTTAAATGATTTTCGTAGCAGGTCCTGTTCTTAAAAATTCCATGGCATTCCTGGCAATGAATGTTGCTCCCGTCTTCGGGACATTTAGGGTGTCCTAAACAAAAGGGACAGCGATGAGGGCACTTGGACCGATGGTCTGTGACATTCCTGTACCCCACATCGCAATGAGCACAGTAATAGGGGTTCCCTGTCACTCCCGGCATGGATATGATGGCATCGTAATGATGGTCGTCGAACAATATGTTCAAATAAGTTCCATCTCCCGAACCTTTGTAAATAGGCTCTAAACAGAGTTTAGTCGAAGTGGACTTGAACTGAAATATTTTCAGTCGATACTGAGGAGCTAACACCTGTTGTAATTTCGTCCATTCTCGGGCTCCACAAGCTTGAGTGATATCACACTCGGCCTGTTCCATGAGGGCTATTGCTTCTCGTTTCTGGTCTAAGTATTTATCGCCTTTCCGCATATGTGACCATCGTTTTTCCCATTCGGGGTCTGGATGTTCCGGTTTTTGACTGTGTAACCGGGTGACGACGATGGCTCTAGCCAAACAAATTTATCATGGGGATTGACGATCCGAACGATGGATTGTTTATTGTTCTTGAAAGTTTCCTTATTCACTTGTAGATGTTTGGTATTCTGGCCACCACTTCCCTCAGGATACTTGACATGAACCAGATCGAATTCCAGGGAGCCGTCACCCAGTTTGAACTCCTTTTTGGATTGTTGAACGGCTTCTATTTTATCTAAAATGAGGTCTTCGTTTAAATGTTTACATTGAGTAAACTCGTACCAAATCTCTGAATCCAAAGAATTGTGGCGTAGGTTCAGGCGGAGGTTATCGTTAGGATTACACTGCATTTCAGATTTGAAGGTTTGTAACATGTCTCTGAATAATCGACGAACGAATCCTGTGTTTTCCTCTTCTGGAAATTCTTTGAAATGGACGATATATTTATTTTCATGCGCTTTAAATTTTGTAGAGCGCGTTTCTGTATGCAGTCTCATCTGATAATACTCACAAATCGGCTTGGTTGGTGGATCTAATTCTCTCTCCGTTCTTTTCCGTTTCAATAATCGTTGAGCCTGTAACTGTTTTTCTCTAGTAGAATCCATGTCCAACAGCTGATGGCTCTGAGGGTAAAATGAGCCGGAAGTCGGAGAAAACCTGTATTTATACAGTGGATGACGTCACAATGCATAGGTAAGGTCGCTGACTAAACGTACACAGTACGATCAAAACGTAAGTCTATCGTATTTTTGCACACGACTTTGCACACGGTCCTTACAGATGATGCAACAGGTATGTAAAGATGATGCAACAGGTATAAAAAGATGATGCAACAGGTATAAAAAGATGATGCAACAGGTATAAAAACGTAGGTAAAAGGTATTGATGCACACGGCCCTAAATAAACCCATAGTATATAAACCAGCGCTGGACATTGACGATCATTCTTCGTTAGCACTTAGAACTAGACACAGGTAAAAATGGAGCAGACAAAAAATGTGACAGAGGAAACGGAATATTGTTGGTCAGTCAATGGATCAAGCTTTGGAGAATGGATGAAAACTAAAGAAGAAACCATCCAGAATTTTTATAAATGCCATAGAACATTTAGTCCCAGATACCAAAAAAGAGTGTGGTTGGTAAAAAGAGTGGAATTGGATCCTGAAGATTATGACACCAGAGAGGACCAATACTGTCTGAAGGAGAGAATAAATGGTTATTACGGTTATCAAAAATACCAATTGGAGATCATGACTGATCCTTATAAGGGGGAGAAGAGTTCCTGGAAAATTACACTTGCCGATTGTTTTCATCAATTGGAAGAAAAGAGGTTTTGGGATGAAAAGAGGTTTCAAGGACTTTTTTACAGATAGGCCTATTTATAAAGTGTATGTATATTGTCGCATTCCCTTTATTGCTGATACGAAAAACAACATTTGGAAAATAGATTTATGATATTGTTGTTGTTTGTTATTTTGTCATGAAGTGTTATGTAAAATTATGTTCTTAAATAAAAAAAAGAATTCAAACTGAATAAAATCTGTGTTCTTGTCTGTCTTGTGTGTGTTATTGTCATTGTTTTCAGTAAAAAAATCCAGTTCAAACTGGCTGGCTGGCTAGACTGGCTAGACTGTGAATGAAATCGTGACGTCATAATCATATTCTTGAGACGCTGCCAAAATCGTAGTAGCAGCGTATAGTAAAACAAAACGTAATAGCAGCGTATAAAAAAAAAACTATATACAGTGTAAACACCGTATTTAGGGGCTATGTAATGAAGTGAACCCCCTTAGCCCTTAGGGTTAGGGGTTAGGGTTAGGGCTGTACTGAGTTGACCCACCTATCCCCCCAGACCCCCCAATCTGCACTCACTTGACCCACCTATCCCCCAGACCCCCAAACCTGCACTCAGTTGACCCACCTATCCCCCCAGACCCCCCAATCTGCACTCACTTGACCCCCCTATCCCCCCAGCCAATCAGAATCCACCATTTTTGACCTCATTTGCATAATGTCCTAGATATTGACCCCCCTATCTAGGCCACTTCCGCCCCCAGCTAGGCCACTTCCGGTTAGGCCACTTCCGGCTAGGCCATTTCCGGTTAAACCACTTCCGACCACTTCCAATTAAGCTACTTCCGGCCACTTCCGGTTAAACCACTTCCGGTCCAGCTACGTCACTTCCGCCCCAGCCAGGCCCTTTGTACTACTGATGAAGAACATTCACTGTTCAACACTGATTCTCAATTTATAGTCTCAATTCGTTTAAAATAATGTACCGTGTTTTAAGTAATATAATATTTCTAATAAATTTTATTTTCTGCCAGTCGTATGAACCATTGTTGGTTTTTGATTAAAATACAACAATTGTTTGTTGTAACTTGAATGATTGTCTTAGGAGAAAATTGTATTTCATAGCAGAAATCGATATTTACGTTACTGTCGCCGATCATCGTGTAGTTTTTATTTTAAACCAGAAAGAAGTTTTAAATCATTATCATGTCTTTTTCTTAGTAAGATTGTCCTACATTTGAGTTATATTTTCTGAATATCACACCCTTCACACAAATGCGTGTCACAAATTTTTAAAAATTGTAATATATTTATTAAATTTTGATGTCGCCGCAAAATTATTACTTTTCTATTTCGGAATTCAAAAGGACTTGAAGGATTGCTGAACTGACTCAATAGGATTAAGTTGTAACTTTTTAACATCATGAACACCTCTTCTATTGCATGGAATGATAAAAAAGACACTGTTTATCTGTATTTATTAAAAAAAAAAAAAGCCCCCTTTTCTAATGAGTTCAATGGTTAAAAAATTCATCGATATTTACGTGTTGATATTTATTCACAAATTAAGTAAGAGAACTACACTGTTTCCTATGGGTTAAATTGCCTTACACTCAAGCACTAGAATATGCCTTTAATTAACAGTGGAATAATTAAGGACGTTCGATCCTGAGATTTTGAGCGTATTTCGGTCAGGT